CGGAAGTAGGATTGCCCAACCTTCCTTCCGAGGAGTGGCTGGTGGGTTTGAACAGCCAGTCGTCTGGTTAGCAGGCAAGTGTCTTAGCCACTATGCTACCAGAGCTCCCTTTGGAATTCTAGGACCTCCATATTCCAGATGGTCCGTCCTCTAGCTCCTTGCAATATGAGACTGCTAGGGCTTTATCCTGCAGAAGCTGGTTTATCCAACCCACCCAACTTTCCAACCTCAGACCTTACTACTGGAGAAAATCCAACACCTCTGGGTTCCTCATCTGATGCACAAGATTCGAACCTGGGGCCCCAGTGACAAGAACACTGGTGCTCTAGTGGCTCACATGGAGTATCTCGTTTAAGGGGACAAATCTGGCCGTTGTTGTTGTTAGGCACCATCGAGTCCATTCTGATTCACAGTGACCCCATGTGTCAGAGCGGAACTGCCTCACAGGTTTTTCTGGGCTGTCATCTTTACGGGAGCTGATTCACCAGGCCGGTCTCCTGTGGAGCAGCTGGTGGGTTTGAACCGCCAACCTTTCGGTTAACAGCCTAGTGCTTAACTGGTGCACCACCAGCGCTTAAACGAGTGATGCTTTAAAAACGGCAGTGGAATCCGGTTGTGTTTGGGCAGATCTGCAGTCCCAGGCAGCCACCGGCCCCTCCCTCTCTCCCATCCTTCCCATCCTCTTTATTTTCTTCCACTATGGGAGAAATGGTGGCATAGTGCCTAAGACATCTGACTGCCAACCAGAAGGCTGGCAGTTCAAACCCACTAGCCACTCCTCAGAAGGAAGGCTGGGCAATCTACTTCCGTAGTGATACTGCCTCAGAAACCCAAGGAGTGAGTTTGATTTTGTTACTTCTCTGGCCCCTAAAGGCCTTTAGTTTTCAATCCCTGCTCTCCTTCATTTTCTACATGGGAATCTGATTCCCTGTGTAAAGACAGCACTGGAGAATCCAGGGCTCCTTCGATGCTTGAGCCATGGGTACCCAGGAGACACTTACTCAGCGTGGCACAGCTGGAATGGGGTGAACTGGAGTTCCAGGTTCAGACAGCTCTCTGTGAGGGGGGCACAGGCAGGTGAACAGGGCAGCCTAGCAGGCCTCCGTCCCACCCCAACCCTGCCTTTCCCCGTCTCCTCCCCACCCCCCACCCCCCGGACCACACTCACGGGCAATGGAGTCAAGGTTGTACTCAGAGCCCGGCTCATAGTCACAGTAAATGTTAAGGAAGGGACTGCCCTTGTCCCCCGAATCCTGGGGGAGGAAAAAGGCCTCAGGGGAGGGCAGGGCGGCAAGAGGGAGCTGGGTCAGACTCCCAGGATCCACCATATGTTTAAGGAGGGGAGCGCAGGGAGGCGGAGGGGGCCCTGGGTACCTTGATGAACGTGATCCCCACGACCAGGCCCCGCTTTGGGGGCGATTTGTTGAAGGTGTCGATGGAGACGATTTCTGCATCCACTGGGAGAGGGCAATGTTTGTATTTCAGGAAGACCCCCATCATCATGACCCCTGACCTCTGGGTACGAGGGATCCCTGACCTGGGAATCTGTGTGATCTTAAATTCAAACTACTTCCAGGTCCCTATTATCTGAATCCTGATTCCTATGACCCTTGACCCCCTTCCATCACCCTGGTCCCATTCTCCCATGAGATCTAGCTCAGACAGAGCCTCAGAAGCTTTCTCAACATCACGTTACAAGCCCCCTAGCCTTATGGCGCCACGCACCGGGAATATAGTTGAACTGCAGCTCCTTAGCCACGGGCCTGATTTTCTGTCGGAGGTCTTGGTAGCGGAAGCCGAGCACTTTGCCTTTAAGGGTGGCAGCTAGTAGTTCCCCGCGCCCGCCCGCGCCGCCTGCCAGCCCGTACACATTGCTCTGCGACGAGAAGCGCGTGAAGCTGTCCTCGCGTAGGGGACAAGGCTCCGCGGCCACAGCTGCTTCCCCCATCACGACCCTCAGCCTCTCGGCAGCCTAAGCCGCTGCCAGGCCTATCTGACCCGCTGTTCCCTAAAGGACAGGGAACGCCAGACGCCCGCCCATGGCGCAGACTGATTACGTAGAAAAGCTGCCGACTCTGCCTTGTACCAAGATGGCAGTCGGCTCGGCTGTCCCAGGAGAGTCTCACCGCGCCTGCGCACTCCTCCTTCTTCCGTTCCAGGGCCAAAGAGTGACCAGACTTTGCCCAGAAGGTGGAAGAGCATGACCGACGTCCCCTTGCTATGAACTCCAAGCCAAACTCACTGCCTTGGAGTCCATTCGACTCATAGCGACCCCTCCTTGGGTTTCCGAGGCGGTATATATATATATAGCAACTCCCACTAGGTTTCCATGGCTGTAAATCTTTACGGAAATAGATTGCCCAATCTGCCTTCCGAGGAGTGGCTGGTGGGTTTGAACCGCCAGTCTCTGGTTAGTAGTCAAATGCCTTAGGCACTATGCCACCCTGTGTATGCTTGCTTGTCCCTAAAAAGCTAAGAGGGGTTGGGGAAATCTGTGCATATCTCGTGTATCGTTTTCAGAAGACATGAGTTGCTCAGCTGACCTGGCAGCTCAAATAATCGCCATTCCTCTCCTTGCAGAAACACACACACACTCAGCCAGACTGCAAGTTCTGTGAAAGTAGCAACTGGGTCTCCCTTGGTCACAGCCGTAACTCTGGTGCCTGGACCTCAGGGCCTGGCACACGGTGGACATTCAGTAAACGTGTTAAAAATCCACAAATTCTGTGCTAGGCAAATGGAAGGCTCTCAGAGGCAAACTGGATCTGCAGGGTGGTGAGAAGAACGGCGATCAGGACAATTCCAGATTTCGGAATTGGATAAAGTTCCTAGGTGTGGGCTGCGTAGGTTGTTCACTACCAGGTATCCAGGGCCTGGAGCATGGCTTGGCACAGTTGGCATCGTTAGCACAACAGAACCACCTGCTGCTTGGTCCTGCACAAGCTCCATGCTGTTGGGGATCAGATCATATGATCTGCAAGGTTTGCGTTGCCTGATTTTCTGAAGCTGATCATCAGGTCTTACTTCCTAGTCCATTTTATTAATCTGGAAGCTCCGCTGAACCTGTTCCACATCACAGCAACATGAAAGCCTCTGGTAACAGGCTTATATGAGGTTCATTGAACCCAGGTCCCCCGCATGGAAGGTGAGAATTCTACCACTAAACCCCCACTGTCCCTCTAGGCTTACAGTAGGTAGCTACTCAGTAAACATTTGCTGACTGAATGGAATGTGGGGTCTAGGTCTGTCACTCCTGAAGTATGTGTTCTTCCCGATTCTTCTACCCCACTTGATAACCTCTAAACCACTTTCACGTAGTATTTGTTGAGTAAACAAATCAACCAGTCAAGGAAGTTATGGCTTGGGGAGGGAAAGCATCCTCTTATTCAGTGATTTCCATCCTTAGTTGCACATTTGAGCCATCTGTGGAGCGTTAAAAAAAAAACCAAAACACCAAAAGAGTAGGGGATGGACCTCAATCAAAACAATTTCCCAGGGAGTGGTCCAAGCTTGAGTACTTTCAGTGATGTTAAAGTGCAGTCGGGGTTATGAATAGCTGATTTAGGTCACAGATATCAGATACTCATCCTAACACGCTAATAATTCTTCTGTGACTGCCCATGGCAGACATTAACAATCAACCTCGGATCTCAGAAATTAACAGCGTTCTAGGCAGCCATTACTAATCGAATGGAGCTGTGGGCGGAAGCTGCGTGGCGTCTAGCGCAGTCCCTCTTCCAAAACAACAAAACAAAAACCCACCAAACTCACTGCGGTGGAGCGGGTTGACTCCTATTGACCCCCCTCCCCTTGGGTTTCCGAGGTGTTGTCTCTGCCCTGTGTTCACTCCGACTTTACCCCTGCAGGCCGTGCCGTCTGCCTGCCTCCTCAGGCCTGAGCCTCCTCCAATGCCGCCCCCACAGCGAGGAGGGCCGGGCTCCGCTGGAGCGGTGCGCAGATCCCATCAGACCTGCGGGCAGGCCGCCATCGCGGAGGCGGCGGCGGTGGTCCTGGCCCATCTTTCTTGGGCCAAGCGCTTCTGTCATCTCCCCCGCACATCCGTACCCACCAGCCGCTCCGTCCCCGTCCTGTGACAGATGGGAGAGCCGCCACTGGGGCTTTCAGCGTCCGTTCCGGGGAGCATGGACGCGGGGTGAGCAGGGGACGTCGGCCCATTGTCCACCTAACAGTCCTGGTGCACCTGCACCCCCACCCTTGTCCCTAATGAGGGGAACCCAGCCCCAGGCCGGCAGTTGACACGGGCGCTGAGTCCCAGGCCCTTGCAAACATCTCTCCGCCCCACCGTGCCCTCCAGGGCTTTCCCTCCCACCCAGCGCCAGCCACAGCCCAGGCCCCCAGTCAAGCCGGGAATCCCTCCCTCACCCCATAAGGAGGCGCTCTGGTGGCACAGTACCTAAGGCATTTTGACTGCTAACCAGAAGGCTGCCAGTTCAAGACCACCACGAACTCCTCGGAAGGCAGACTGGGAGATCTACTTCTGTAGAAATACCACCTTGGAAACCCAAGGAGGGATCGCTTTGAGCAGTGAGTTTGGTCACGGTTTCCCCAGTAAGTGTGCTTAGAGCCCCAAGGGGAGACCTGGCGGGGGCGGATAAAGAGAGTCTCGTGCCCAAGTGGTGTTTTTTATTCCTTCCCGGGCCAACCGCAGCTTCTGAGACTAACCACCTCAAAGCGTCAGGGGGTAGGTGCGGGGCGACCCTCTGAGCTCCCGGGCCGGGTGGAACCTGAAAGGTTGTGGCTGCAGCGGACTGGGGTGGGGGCAGGAGTCCCTCACGGCGGGAGTTGCAGGGGGCAGCAGCTCTGGTGCTCCGCGCTCAGCTGGGGAACACACGGAGACGGGGAACAGCCTCGCACTTGGCTAGTTGGGAGACGAGGGGCAGATGCTGCCCCAGGCCCCCGCGGCGTCCACAGCAAACAGGTCTATCAAAGATTCTGTACAGCTATTTTTTGGGGTTGGAGAAGGGCACCATGGGGGATTAAATAAACGGGCCGGGGTGAGGGGGTGATGCAAGGTCAGAGGTCGACCGTCCGGCCAGCAGGTCCAGCCTCTGTGCAGAGCCCACGCGCACGGGGCCTTGACTTGCGAGCCCGCTCAGGTGGGGCGGGGAGAAGGCTCCAGCCAAGGCCTGAAGCCCCACGTCGCCTCACTGACGGCACCCGGCCCTCACTGGAGCCTGTAGCGCAGGGTTGGGGTGGGGCCTGGCGAGGAGGGGCGGGGCCTGGCGAGGAGGGGCGGGGCCTAGCGCAGGTCCTCCTCGTCGCCCTGGATCGTCTTCTTGATGCGCAGCAGCATGGTGGTGAGCCACTGGTCCAGCCGCGAGATAGCGTCGTACTCCTTCACCTGGGGGCGTGTGAGTGAGCACGGGCACCCCCCGGGCACCCTCCCCCGCCCCCAGTCCCCTCCAGCCCTGGTCTCTGGAAAGGTGGGGGAAGCCCGACCACTGCCCACCACCCCCTTGATCTGTCTTTCCGACTCTGGCTGGAGAGTTCTTTGAGAGAAGAAGGAAGATTTTGTAGCTTAAATAGAAAGGTCCAGCTTCTGGTTTCATGGGTGGTAAACTGAGGCAGGAGGGCATCAAACAGGCCAGTGCACAGCAGCCGTGACTGGGCGACGGGGACTGAGCCTCTACCCCTGCACCGCCACTTCCTCTGCCTCAGGCCGCTGAGCTGAGCTGCCCAGAGCCCGTGTCCACCGTGGGGCAGGACAGCCCAGAAGGCTTCGCCTCTGTCCTCAGTTAAGGCGGTACCACAGCCGCCTGAGCTGGCCCCAGTCGGGTTCCAGAATGTTCAGAACCGAACGGAGGGCAGAGCCAAGCAGACATGTGCGTGGGCGTGCTCCCAGCGCCACTGGCCCACCCCAGCTCTACTTCCCATCAGGACTGGGGGTGGGGGGATGCCAGAAACCCTTTCCCTGCCCCCGCTGCTTGTCTGGGCCACCCAGAGGGCCAGGAGTGGGCCGGCCCAAGGGGACTCCGAGGGGTGCAGGGAGCGGGACCTTCCAAGCAGACCCCCAGAGGCTGAGCCCAGCTCTGCTGCCTCACCTCTCTCAGCCTCAGTGTCACCAATCATACATCAGGGAGGACACTCCCTGTGCCTCTTGGGTGACCTGAGAGGCTTCCCAGGTGACTGCAGAAAGCGATTCACAGCCAAGGGCCAGAGGTTAATCAAAAAGGGAGACGTTCCTGGCGTGTGCCTCAGACAAGAGCTGCGTGCCCAGTGACCCGCCCCCTGGAGGACCCAGCACCCTGCCGGCCACTCACCGCCTCAGTGTAACTGTCCACGTTCTGCTCCTCATGGGCTTCTAACAGCTTCTGTGAGGCAAACGGCAGCAGGGGTTAGAGCCTGGGTGGGACTCCGCACACAGGTCTGGGGGGCTCACCCGGGGGCTCACTGGCAGTGACGATCCCCTAATCTGCTGTGGCTGTTTTTGACCCCATGTGACAGAAAGCTGCCCCATGCAGGGTTTTCTGGCTGTAGGCTTTACAGCAGCAGGCGACCAGCTCTTTATTCTGCAGAGCCGCGATGGGGGGTGAGTTGCTGATCTTGTGGTTAGCAGCCAGACCTTTCAATTGTTTGGGCCACTGGGGCTCCTTATTCATCCCCAAATCACTCACTCCCAGTGACAAAAAAAGCCTCATGGGAAGTGTGCACTCGGGGTCATCACCAGGCCTCCTGCTCTGCCTGAGCCCATCACCGCCCGAGTCATACTCTTCTCACAAACGGAGACCCAAATGGCAGAAGAGGCAAACACCCCCAAGCGCAACTCTGTTTTGTGCAAATCTTGGTGATCATAATAACCAAAGTCCAAGCCCCCGATTCCCCATCCATGGCCCCCGAGAAACGAAACCCACTACCAGCAAACTGACTCTAACTCACGGCACCCCCGTGTTACAGGGGGGAACTGCTGCCTAGGGCTTTCTTTCTTTT